CTAACTGATCGGTCTCAAAATGTAATTATAAATGAGGAAGCATCATTGAACAATGGGTGTGTTTCCAGTGGAGTTCTACAGGGATCAGTTCTTGTCCATATGCTATTTAACATTTTTATTAATGACTTGGAAGAAAACATCTGATAAAGTTTGCAGATGACCTACAAATTGGGGGAGTGATAAATAATGAAGAAGACAGGTCAATGATAGAGTGATCTGGATTGCTTAGTAAACTGTGTACAAGTAAACAATATATGTTTTAATATGGCTAAATGTAAATGTATCCATGTAGGAATAAAGAATGTAGGCCATAGTTACAGGATGGGGGACTCTATCATTGGAAGCAGTGACTCTGTTAAAGACTTTGGGGTCATTGTGGATAGTCAGCTGAACATGCCCTTACCCATGTGTCTCTGTGGCCAAAAGGCTAATTGGATGAATAAACAGGGAATCTCAAGAAGGAGTAAAGAGGTTAGTTTACTTCTGTATTTGTCACTAGTGCGACTGCTGTTGGATTACTATGTCCAGTTCTGGTGTCGACAATTCAAGGAGGACTTTGATAAATTAGAGATGGTTCACAGAAGAGCCACAAGAATTATTAAAGGATTGGAAAACATGCCTTAGAGTGATAGACTGAGCCATTGAGTCTATTTAGCTTCACAAAGAGAAGGTTAAGGGGTGACTTGATTACAGTATTTAAGTACCTACATGAGGAATAAATATTTAATAGTGGGCTCTACAACTCAAGTTCATTTCCTTCCCACTTGTGTATCATCGGTAGTAAAGATTCTGCAGGCAAAATTATCATCTCAGTGACACCTGTGCAACCTCATTTCTTACTGTAGGCTTGGAATGATTTAATTTATAGACACTTGGTAAGTGATTCTATTGATCTCAAGATGAATAGAATCTGCACCTCAGTTTCGTTTAGTTGTTGTTTCTGCAGGGCTAACAGTTGTAAATAGCTGACAGTGCTTATTATCCTCTTGCAGTAGGAAGACCATAGTTAACTTTGCATTGGAATTTTCTGTTTTACAGGGTCTGTCTGTCTCATATTTTAAATCTGAAACATGCTATAGGGAACTTGTACCAAATTTCAGCCACTAATTAATGTGCATGTGGAATAAACTCATATGAGTTTGAGTGTTTCTGTGGTGTTGGTTTTAAAGGAAATTTGGGGAAACTGGAACAGTGGAAAAGTCTGATGTCTTTTCCACACAGCACTGCAGATTTAAAAGCTCCTGCTGCTTCCTGAGCAGTAACATTGTGACATCAGAAATAATCAGCCACTCGTCTCTCATGCCCTCCATTTTGTTTGCATACTTGGGAGAGCACTGATTGCTTACTTGGTAGTCATTGCAATGCCTTTGAAAACTGGTTTACCACAGACTATCATAACATTTAATGAAGGTTCACAGGAAGAATTGTAATGAGTTTGAAGGAGCTCCTGCTGTGCTCCTTGGGGTTTGTGCTGTGTAAGTTACACTGGTTCTTTTCAAAGGGTAATTGTTACTTTCCTCAAAAAGGGTTACATGACAATAAGATATAAAATTAAAGCTCCTTGTATTGTATATTTTTATATACTTACAAATCTATGGCTTTCTGAATATTTACCTTTTTCAAAAAGCAGGAAATTATAGATTGGAGTCTCTACTCAGTTTTCTATTACACAATTTAAAAAGAAGTAATTTAAAAGTTGCAAGAAAAACAAAAACATGTTTTGTTTGAATACAGTTCAGTTAAATTATTTCCAATATGTTGATCAACATGGCACTGAGTGGTGAAACATGGATCTGCACAGAGATAACAGTAGCAATTAAATATACAGTGAAGACAACAATTGTGTAATGCTTTATTATTTAAATAGCATATGTATGAAAAGATTTTTTGATTAAAAACTAAGGTAATTCACACACAAAATTTAATGTTAAGGTTGTTCTCATGAATAAACAAAATAATACAAAATTAGGCAATACAAAGTCTTCAGTTACATGATTGCATATTATTTTTTACACAGGATGCCTTGTTTATTCCATGCACAGGATGGATCTGTTCTGGGGATTAATAGGGATGTATAGGGAAGGAGTCTGTTGTCTGTCTCCTGCCTCATTTGTTGCAGAAGTTGGAAGTTTTGTAGTGAATGAGGTAGTGGACTGCGGGAAGAGAAAGGCTAGGGAAGTTGAATGTCACTCACCTGGAGACCTGGATTCTATCTTTGCCTCTTCCATAGAGTTCTTATGTGAAACTGGGCAAGTTACACCAAACTTTTCAGTCAGTATCATAATGCATATGCACAAGGGGCTGAGGTAAGGGTGCATGGGCAATGTTCATGCTGGAATTTCCTAATTTGAGAGTGAGGCTGGTGATGACAACCTTCTCATGGTTTGCCCTGTTACATGCTAAGGCACAATCAGAGTCATCAAATCATCATTCAAATATTGCTCCGCAAGATCCCAGAGGAAACAACAATGGAAATAGTTACATTTTCATAGCCACTTTAAGAGAACTGTAGGCCCTGCTCTACCAATTTGCCAGTTCAACACTGAACTTGAGAATGCGTCAAGTATCAGAGGGGTAGCCGTGTTAGTCTGAATCTGTAAAAAGCAACAGAGGGTCCTGTGGCACCTTTAAGACTAACAGAAGTATTGGCAGCATAAGCTTTCGTGGGTAAGAACCTCACTTCTTCAGATGCAAGACTTGCATCTGAAGAAGTGCAGTTCTTACCCACGAAAGCTTATGCTGCCAATACTTCTGTTAGTCTTAAAGGTGCCACAGGACCCTCTGTTGCTTTTTACAGATTCAGACTAACACGGCTACCCC